TATGATAGAAGTTTTTTCAGGTTATGTGCTAGACGTATGTTGTGCTGTCTGATTTTTGCCTCGACTGTGAGTGTGGTCCAAAACCCGAGAGCCCAGAATACTCTGAATGGAAAATCAAACATTCATGCCAAAAAAATAGCTCATGCAAGGCTGGCCAAATGGAAGTAGAGGCAGCAATGATTTTATTTCAGCACTCCCTTTCGCTTCATGGCCTCAGGTACACCACCATGCTTTGTGATGGATACAGCCGGTCGTAGAGTGCTGTCAAAGAAGCTAAGGTGTACGGCTTCATAAATGTTGAAAAAGAAGACTGCTTGAACCATGTGCATAAGCGCATGGGGACTGTACTTCGGAACCTCGTGCAGAAGCACAAAGTGCATTGGTACCAAGGGCCGCCTCACGGGTGACCTCATCACAAAATTTACGAGTTATTATGGCTGGGCTTTGAAATCGCATTCTGGGAATGTGGATGAGATGCACAAGGCTCCCTGCAGGGGCGCCTGTGAAAGCAGGCGTTTGGTGCGTAGCGACACCACGGACCCGAGCTAATGGGGGAGTTTCGACTCCCTCCCCTGCCTAGCCGTGCGTGGCTTTGCCGTGTCCGGGGAAAAGGGAATCCTGGGGGTTGAGCCGACGTCGGGTGATTGGACTTTTGAGGCCTCCCGGCAGAGGCAACACACCCCTTTGGCCCCGGCTTCACGTAGACTGCACCCCTGGGCTGACCCACCCAGGGGAAATCGGCAGTCGCCTTTTCCTATCTCTCTCCCCTACAACTTCGTCTTTATCTCTCACTTTTGGTCTGTCCTGTCTACTTATCTCTTCTGTTTACTTCCAATTTTCCTGGCGGCAAGGATGAACCCTGTGCAAATAGCCTACCTTGGCCTAAGCGCATTGGGTTATGGCAGTGTTGTACGGCTGACGTCTGCAAGCTTTCAGCACCTGCAAACTTGCAGCGTCTCCTTGTTGGGCTCCGTGATGGGTGGCCGCCAACGCTGCTGAACAAAAGTAAGACCGGCATGCATGGTGCATTCCCCCTACCGTCTGATCGTACGGGCCTAAAGCGGGTACGCACCGATGACATAAATTTCTTCAACCAGCCAATAGAAACATTTCCCCACTTGCACGTCATTCACTGTGAAAAAAAACGGAAAGCAAGCCAGGACCGTATCTCCTTTCGTAGTTGCCAGGTGTTTTACTGAAACTGTCGGGGCTGGATACAAAGTAACCAAAACGGAGACCTTCTCCTCGAAATTCGGGACAAAGCACAATTTGTAAAGCTAGACAGCCTCTCAACGTTTGGTGACGTACCGATCACCATAACACCACACAGATCTATAAACATCACTCGCGGAGTGGTATCTGACACAGAATTACTTGACCTGATCGAAACCGCCCCGCCACGGTGGTCTAGTGGCTAAGGTACTCGGCTGCTGACCCGCAGGTCGCGGGTTCGAATCCCGGCTGTGGCGGCTGCATTTCCGATGGAGGCGGAAATGTTGTAGGCCCGTGTACTCAGATTTGGGTGCACGTTAAAGAACCCCAGGTGGTCAAAATTTCCGGAGCCCTCCACTACGGCGTCTCTCATAATCAAATGGTGGTTTTGGGACGTTAAACCCCACATGTCAATCAGACCTGATCGAAACTGAACTTTTGGAGGGGTGGAAGAGCCAAAATGTCACTAATGTACAGGGAATTATCATCAGAAGAGATAATAAGGAAACACCGACGAAACACCTAATACTCACGTTTGCATCCAGTAAAGTACCAGAATCTATTCAAACAGGGTACACGAATACATCTATCAGGCCGTACATACCAAACCCTCGTCGTTCCAAACCATCTATCAGGCCGTACATACCAAACCCTCGTCCAATGCCAGAGGTATGACCATGGCTCTAAAACCTGTCGTGGTCGCCAGACTTGTGCACAATGGGGAGTCCTAGGTCACGTGTCTGAGAACTGCAAACAACCGCCACACTGTGTAAACTGCGAAGGAAACCATGCCGCATATTCACGCTCCTGCACATACTGGAAAAAAGAAAAAGAAATAATTACATTGAAGATGAAGGAGAACATTTCATTTAAGGAAGCACGGCGAAAAGTCGCACCATTCTATGGACCTACATACGCTGATGCGGCGCGTCAGTGGGCACCGCCGCACCAACCTTCGCCACTCCTTCGGCCCGCGCATACGGAGCCGGCGGTTGTGGCACCTGCCCCCAAGGCGGCTGTAGTCCAGGCTACACCGCCTACTCCCAAACAGAGACCGGAGACTCCAGAGTCTTCGGGTCTCAAGGCCTCCCCTCACTAGGCGAAACCCAAAATTCGGACTAACAGCCCGCACGTGCGGGCATCCAGTGCCTCCGAGGAGGCAATGGATACGTCAGTTCCCTTGGTGCCGAAAGAGCGGCGTGTCTCCTTGGAGCGCGCCAAGAAAACAAAAAAGCAGATAACAGGGCCTGGTGACGGCCCTGTTACGTGAACTTAAACTCCCTGTCTAAACAGCCATTCGCTTTTCATACACACAGCACTATTTTACATTCACCATGAACACTCAAATTATACAATGGAACGTCAGGGGCCTTCTCAGAAACCTTGACGACATCCAAGAACTTTTACACAAACACTCACCAAAAGTGCTGTGTGTACAAGAAACACACCTTATTTCAGAACACACAAATTTTCTTCGTAAATACATTATTTTCCGAAAGGACCGTGATGATGCCATGACATCATCCGGAGGTGTTGCCATCATAGTGAATCAATGAATTGCATGCACACACTTACAACTCCAAACATCCCTTGAGGCAGTGGCTGTTCGAGCGGTTCTTTTTGATAAACTGATCACAATCTGCACTATTTACATTCCTCCTAGCTATCAGCTGCAAAAATGTGATTTACACTCTTTAATTGATGAACTTCCGGAGCCTTATGTTCTCCTTGGAGAATTTAATGCGCATAGCAGGCTATGGGGTGACTCTCGTTGCGACGCACGAGGTCGACTGATTGAATAGTTCCTTCTCTCGTCGAGCGCGTGTCTCCTAAATCGAAAAGAACCAACCTATTATAATCTCGTTAATAACACCTACTCCCCCATAGACCTAAGCATAGTATCTCCATCTCTTGTGCCTCTACTCCAGTGGAAAGTCGTCAGTAATCTGTACGGAAGTGACCACTTCCCCGTAGTTTTGAGCACAACTACAGCAACTGAGTGTCCACCACGTGTTCCCAAATGGCTCATAAACAGAGCCGACTGGGAACAGTTTTATACCATCGCTCGTCTAGGTTGGAGTGACATATGTACTTTGAGCATTGATGTTGCTGTCAACTACTTCACAGCGTTTTTGATTGATGCTGCAACAAAATGCATCCCACAAACAAATGGACACCCTGGAAAATGGCGTGTGTCATGGTGGAGCTCTGAATGCCGAAACGCACACAAACAGCAAAACAGAGCATGGAGGTTGCTTCGGAACTCACCGACAGCTGAAAATCTTGACACCTTCAAGAAAATAGTCTCAAGGCAGGAGAACGTGTCGGCAGGCCAGAAGAGAAAGCTGGCAGAAGTTTTTGTTAGGGATCAATCCATACACACAGGAGGCTAAAGTCTGGAAGATGGTCGGTGGGATGCGTTTAATTATCGAAACAATGACGACCATACCTTTCGCTCTCTCCTGCGCTTCCTTCCGCTGGTGTCTTCTCCCACACCGCTTTGCCCTCTCGCCGAGCGCCCCTCCCATACCCCTCCAAATCTCGCACCGCATATGCCATCACTGACGCGCTGCTTGAAACATTGTCTACTTCCGGTTGCTGCGACTCCGGCCGTCGACTTCGTCAGTTGCGTTGTAGCTGCATGCTCTTTGGCAAACCGTGGCTGCCTTAATCGTGCTGGTATGGACCCTGCGTTGCACGCACGCCTTCAAAGGATCGCCAATGCGATGGACCGGTACGGGGACACGCCCTGCCCTGCACCTGTTGCACACACGCGGCAACACGACAAACAACAGCAGCGCGGACTGCTGCTTGTAAACCGATCGGAAGTAGTAGGCTCTTGCTTGACCAATCACAGAATGTTTGGCATATTTGGCTCGGCGTGTCACACGGAGGTCTGAAAGGCCCGGAAAGAAGAGGGGATTGTTTCTTAGAATTTGTAGCGCGCCAGTGACTCGTAATGCTGCCACGTGTAAAATCGTTTATCGTGACAGCATTCTGCGCACAATGCGCGCGTTTACTTGAAATGCTCGAAAAAATATCAGAGGTGGTTTAAGGGCCCTTGAACAGAGTCGGACCAGAACTATAGGTCAGACTGCTTTAAGCCCATATAAAATGTTCCATTCTATACAAGCCAAATCCAAATTTTCTCCTTTAGACAAAAAGCAGTGTACTCTAACACATTTTAGCTTCAATATAGATATAGTGTATTTTGATTACAGCAGCACATGGGCAAAAAATTGGTGGAGCAGGTCCAACCATATTGTCAGTAACAAAGAGCTGCATTTTTCTTAGTTTCACTTGAAGTGGAGTTGGCTTTTTAAAGAAAATGTCACATATTGGATGCAGCCCTCGTGATTTCTGAATAGTAGGTCTCCCATAAATTGTCATATGCTGCATCTTTTTAGTATAAAGTGCCCTGTAATCAGTCATTAGAAAGCTAATTAATGAGTTGTTAGTCATGCCAGTGTCATTTAACTACCGTGAAATAATTTTGCCTTGCAATTGACTTCACATGTGAGAACGACAGGAGCCTTACACTGTCATATGACTTTTGTAAGAAGTCTGTATTGCTTTAAAAAAAAAAAAAGAAACATTCTGTTTAGTGTACTGTGCCAGGTTGGAAGAACCAACCTATGCATGCGCATTGTACTACTGTTTCAAAATACAAGTTCGACATTAAGAAAAGGGCCGGAACTTGTAGAGCTTTTCATTTCACATGTAGACATGTCACATGCTCATGTCACCTGTTGTTTATTTGAAAATCTGTGTCTGTATTTGTCTTGCAGGCCCAGAAGGACTGGGTCTCAGCATTATTGGCATGGGAGTTGGTGCCGATGCTGGGTTGGAAAAACTGGGAATTTTTGTCAAAACTATTACAGAGAATGGAGCTGCCTACAAGGACAACAGGTAAAAAGCTTGACCACAATTTTTTTTTATGGTTCACTGTGCAAGAAAGTATTTAAAATGGTAAATAAGGTTGAGGTGTTGAAAGGAAGAATACCAAGTAATACCGTGGTTAAATATCAACATTCTTGGTATAGTCTTAGAGATAGTAAAAAGGAAAAAAGTAAGCAGGGTATTTATCAGAGAGCTGTGGCTCTGATTGGTGCACAGCTGGGAACCTATATCTGCTTTTTTATGATGTCACGGTCATGCATGTGAACGCCTGCCAGCAAAGCAATGACGTCTTTGTTCCCCCCGCTATTTATGCCTATTTTGTGTGTAACTGAGATGAAAACAAGGAAGTGGGAAGGTATGCTCTTGGACCAGGACTCCGATAATGACTCTAATAGTATCTATGATAGTATCCAACAACCAGTCGACCCTGATGACTAGTGACTGATAGTATCCAACTATTGCTGTACGCTAGATGACAGCCATAAGCTGCAACTTGTGATGACCAGAGTTCTAGATCATAGGGACTGCATCCTGTATATGCTAGTTGCTGGCACACCAAAAAGGCCAAATGGTGATTCGAATAAGATGAGAAAGATCTACCATTGTGGGGGAAAGAAAGGGGTTTTTTTCATCCATGCAGTGATGCTACCGCTGCGCCAAATTGCGTCCAAGTGTTGTGGCTGCTACATCCTGCTACATTTCCTCAAAGTTTGGCGACTCTGTGCCCAACATGTGCCAAGGGTGTATGCCGACTCTCAGAAGTGAAACTAGGGAGTTTTCGAATAGCGTACCACAAAGCTTTGCATTGCGGTCGCCGCCATTTCGTATGCTGCTAACGGCCGTTAGCATTTGCGATTTGCCCGCAAAAAATCCAAAATAGCTTTTGGGCCGCAAAAGCCCTTTGTGACGACTGAAGCATGCTTCAGCGTTTGCGGGGACAAACTCTATTCGAAAACTCAAGTGCCCATACGCAAACGTTATGTTCGTTAACGTAGCGTATGCTAATCGAAAACTCCCTGCACGATACAGTGAATGACTTGATTTTTCTGACTTGGAGATTGCGAAATTGTCAAAAAGAGGGGGGGGGGGTTGAAAAAAAATAAATTGATATCTTTTTATTCTGCTCAAGTGGTTGAATCGCCACATCCACGGCTGAAGTAGCTTTAACGCCTCCTAGCACACGTCTCCCAGCACACGGCATTTCGGTGCACGACCGGGCTATCATGAATGAATTCTGAATTAACTGCATTCAAATGCCAATTGCAAATTTGCGTCGCTTGATGAGCGTTGGGGATACCCGCAAAGCGCGGCCGACTCATGCTTACTTTGATGCGTGCGTGGACGTAAACGATGTGCTATTTATATGAATATCTTCACCGACACGCAGAATTTGCTGTTGTGGGAAGCTGATTGTTCCTAGTTGTGTGCAGCACAGTGCAAACTAATCCGACGCCGTCACTGCCGGGGTGTCGCTGTTTGTCGTGACAATGTTCATGATGCCCACTTCGCACCTGACCCCACACTGGCGTGGCGATGGCCAGCTCCTTTGGTTCGTAAAGGCATTGTGTCTCTGCAACTTACTCAGTGGCCTAGCTCAAAGAGGGAGTATAAAGAACGGTGGCGTAGCGAGTTTGGGCTGTTCGCTCACAACAGCGCTAGGCCACATGCTCTACTGAGCACCTAGCTGAAAATGCTTATCATGAAAGGTTGTCAGGGATTAGTCACACTTGGCATGTTAGCCGCCTGTTGCTATCACACCTTCACACATTTCTGTAGCTTATTCCTTAAGGCATCACCGCATCATCATGCAGTCGTGACAATGCCCACTGCAGGGCAAAGGCATCACCGCACTGCGCTGTGAGATTAACCTTTTCGGATTTTTAGTCTGCTTCACCCCACACCACTCAAGCACTGCGGCAAAGCTGACTTTCGAACATTGGCTACGAGAGCACACACATCAACTTGTGAAAGAGCTGATTCAAGTGTGCGAGATAGATGTAGCTAAATTGGAGCTGTAATTAACGTTGTTTCAAACATCTAAGCAGGAAGTTTTAACGAAAACTCTTTGGTGTCTGAAATTCAAGATGTTAATACACATTAGCTTGTGACGTTGCCGTAAGCGCATCTGAATTTTCGTGCATATCTGCAAAATTGTATTTGTGGATATTTAAATGTTCGACATGCGGGCTGCTGGTAGATACCGACACTACTACAAAACATTATCAAGACGCTTAATGCCGTGACCAAAAACAACCAAGCCAACATTGGAATTCACAAGTCCAGGAAACATTCTGCTTGGTCATCGTATGACAAATGTAGTGACTATTCTTCTGCGTGGGAAGATGCTTCAGGCAATTCCTTCAGGGCATCTAAAAATGTGCCGACTCCAAAATGGCCAAGAAATTCTCATCCAAAAGACTTAACATATAGTACTAAACAGTTTTAATGGTCACGGGCACTATTTTTAAAAAGCATTTGGTCAGTGAGCTCAACAATTAAGCCAGATATTTGCTTATGTTTCTATAGATGGAATGCCGCTGCGGTCAACGCGGCTGCGGTTTGAAATGAGTGCGCTCTCATTTCAAAACAGTCGTGTATCACAAACTCGCCCAATCAATCATATTGTCAATGTCTATGCTGAGGGCGAAGACACAAAGCAAGTGAGAAATTTAAAGCTACACCCACAAGATGCCTTGCATGTGTGTAGCTCTCTTTCAGTACCTAAAGGTAACAGCATTCAGCAACCACCTGTGAAACCCTGCGCTGTGTGTGTGTTGTGAAATGTTTATTTTCCCTCTCTCTCATTTATTCCTGTGTTCCCCTTCTCATTTGTGAGGTAGCAAACTGGATGTAGTAACCTTTCCTATATCCATTCTCTTTCTCTCTTGTGTGTTTTATCACCTTCACCTCGGAACACACATTTCTCATCCCAAAGCTCTGACGTCGTTTCAGGGGATATTGTAGCGTCTGATCAGCTCACATAATCAATGGCCGGATACCTGTAATGACGTCACTGCTATCAAGGATTGTGGAGCGAAAAAAAAAAAGTGCTTCAGTTGAGTTCGGAATTTATATCAGTTTCTTGGTCTTCAATTTTTTATAGAAAAAGCTTTGTTTCTTTGACAGCTGTACGGCTTGCATAAAAATCGGTATTGCAGATTTAGTTAGCTTTTTCAGTAGTCTTATTGCGATAGCAATTATATGGACACTCTCTGCTGAATTTTGCCTCCAGTGTGGACGTTGCTGCCATTCACCGTGTATGTAACGTATCTATATATATGAAAGCGCAAGAAAGAAAAATAATCTAGAAAAAGACTGCGGTGCTAGAAATGAAACGTCCGACCTCTGAATCGTGAGTGCGAGGCGTTAGCCACTGAGCCACAAAGGAGCGTCTCCTTCAGCGTTCAACGCAAGCTATTTATATCTACCACTTACCGCTAGTGATGGGTATCTCGAGGGGAGGGAACAACAGTAAAGCCTCGTTATAATGAAGTGTGATATAATGAACAAACTGATATAACGGAGCAATTTTAATTCCTCTTCAAATTCCCACTGATGCCAATGTATTTAAACTTCGTTTTAATGAAGCGAAAATGTCCTCGCAACGGATATAACGAAGCATTCTTCATCTGCAATGAGCATTTGCTGATCATTTTGGTATACTTCATTTCAATATCTTAGAGATCGCGACAGTTTATGTCTCATCAAGCCTGCGGTAACTGAAAACTCTCGCCTTGCGCTCCCAGAGCCGCCTGCGGCCTGCCAACACGCATGTGGGAGCGAGTCTCTCTGCCTCCCCTTTCCTCAGGAACTAATGGACTCGCCCGCGCAGCAACTTATAGAGCGTGCGGGTCAGCCAGTTTCCTTCTCTTCAGCTCCGCACCGGGGCCTCGCACGCCGCTGGGGCGGCGGAGATCGTGGCGTTCGTCCTTGTCGTTCGCTGTGGAAGAGCAACACCACCTTTTTCAGTTTCAGCTGCTTGACACGAGATGGTCAACAGCAGCGGCAAATGTAAGCACAAAAATAAACAATCGAGCAGAAGTCGGCAATGTTGAAAGCCGTCGAGTCCGGCGCCAAGAAAAAAAAAAGTGGCTGAAGGTTTCGGTGATGTCGTTGGGTGTCGTGGGCGACCAGGCCCAGATGTTGTAGGACGCTCTCCTTGACGCCGGCGTTGTGCCTCACTGCGACACTTTCTGCATACACGTCGGTGCCGATGCTGACGCGGCAACAACCGAAGAGTTGTCAGATGCGGAAATTGTGCTGAATGAAAACGAAACAGTGACGAATGTGCCGGCACCCCGGAGCCTAATGTTGGTGAACCCGACGCCCGCGCAAGTGCTGGATGCGACAGACCTGCTGTGCTGCTTCTTTGGTGCTTACTATGACGGCGAGGACGGACTCATAATAGCTGCTTCAGCTGAAAGAGCAGTCAACTGCGTGAGGAAGAGTCGGCAAATTCAATAATGTTAAGGACTACAGTGAACTCCCAATAAACGAAACTCGCTTAAACGAAAATGCCTCATTAACGAACTAAACGGGCTCATATGGCTTGATTTCTACGTGTTGCACAGTAAAATTCATCGGTTAATCGAAACAGTGCGTATTGGTCACCTACGCTTAAACGGCACAAACTCTAAACGCAGCATAGACTCGTTCAGGCCAAAAGTAGTCTCACAACCATGACAGCACCTCGAGACAAGCCAATCCAGTAGCCATTCTCGCTTATGATTGGCGAGTCAGTTGTGTGTTAGGCCTATTTGTACGGCTAAGTGCGGTGAATCCCGGTGTTATTTCAGCCCATTGGAAAGGAAGCGGCTGCACCATGCTTTCTTGCTTGTAAAGAAGCTGAAAATTTTTCAGGAGCTCGATCGAAGCGGCCTGCCCAAGACAGAAGTGGCAAAAAACTACAACATTCCAAAATCGACGCTGTCGCGGATCTACGAAGGCAGAGAAAATATTGAAGGCGCTGTAAAGAACAGGACCTTTTCATCTAAACGAATGCGGACGAC